CGGTGGTTAAGACATTGGTTTGATGAAGTTGTTGCAGTCTTGCCTCCGTATTACCCAATAGTCCTTGAAGGTGATGTACTTCATCCTTGTACTCTTCCTGGATCTCCATACCACGTTGATGGATCCGTCGTGCACCATGTTCCATTAGGGCACCTCGGCGTTCAAGGTCTTGGATGCGTATTGTTGCACCTTCGTCTTCCTGAGATGCTACCATTAGTTCTGCTTGATATTCTGCAACCTCATTTGCGGAACATGACAATCTATTATTGAGTGCGTTGACCTCATCAACTACATTCTGGTTGTGTTCCCGAAGATACTCAGTGAATCTGATCTCGATGTCATGAATCAGTTGATCTCTAGACGCAGCGTATGCTTCCATGTTGTTCAGCTGATTACGTAGGGATTGACATTGTGCCCGTAGTTCCTCTATCATGGCAATAGGTTCACTAGCCACAGAAGTATCCGTTGATCTCCTCTTAACACGACTATCCCCGGTCCTCTCACCAATTCGGTCGGTCACGGCCCTGGTGGATCTGTCCCTTGGAGTAGTACGCCCTCGAGATGGTCGGTGCCCTTGGCGGACAACATCACTTCGAGCACTGTTTCGAGAAGATCTAGGTGTACTTTGGGTAAATATTCTTCGTCTGTTTGATGTGACTTGCCATCCGGACTGTGTAGTTCGGGTAGAGCGTATCCCGCCACTGTCTGCCGTGTCACCAGGGGAAGATTGATTGACCTCCTCGACCGGCATAGCAGCGTTCTCATTGAAGGTAAACTGCGTGGTGCGCGAATCTCCGCTGCCGCCTTGCATCTTTGCGACGATGAGCTGATTGGTCCTTTGCGTCCTCAATCAATTGCTCGGACGGCCCGGCTACCAGCACGCAGGTACCACTCTCCCGGCGGGAGAAATGAGCCCTACGGCTGATAACCTGTGAACAAACTGATCCTTGTTCTGGATACCTTTTCTGTTGTGGTTCCCTATGTGCTGATAGTCGGAGCTGTCAGTCCATGCAACGGCAGAGCGCGCTATTTTTGTCCTCGCAGTGGGTCTTGAGCCATGACGGCGTCCCACGCAAATCTGTGCATATGTACAACATATGCAGCTACAGTATTCCTTCGTTCCCTTTAACATATATATACATATGTACATGGGTAGACAGTAGACAAATAGAACAGATATTAAAAACATCATACCACCATTTCAAACATTTTTTTGGTTTTCTCCAGATATGTTAGCACTCCATCTTAAAAGATTGCCACATTGTGGTGCCAATCAGTAGTTCCCCATCCCTTCGACGGCTGCCGTGGGACCTCGACGAACTCCTCGGTCTCGTCGCTTGGAGAGGTGCCAGAGCTGGCCTCGGCTTAAAGGCAGTCGGCAGTTCAGGACACTCATCCAAGTTGTGACTTTTTGGGGTAAAGAATGGGTTGTTATGATACCCCTGTTTGTATCCTATGACATCCTATGACCATGATCGTTTTCATGATTGATACTGTACTTATATAGAACATAGTGACAGTTCTTAATGGTATTTTTAGTAGTTATTAATAGTTATTAATCACTTCCCCCATTCACAATAAAGATCCCCAAGAAATCATGGTTGAGTAGTGGATGAAATCACATACATATTTGGCCGCAGGATTGGGATGTTCAATATCAGGGGGAAGGGATTGCAAAGTAGTCTGCCCTCTGGTAGTCAAACATGGCTAGCTTCCAGTACGCCATGTTTGATTATTAGAAGGCATACGTTTGTAGATTTTAGATATTTTAGATATGTATTTTCCTGTTTACTACTGTTATGAACAATTGTATGAAATCATATGAAATCAACAAGAACATGTAAGGTAAGCATTCTCTGTATCGCATCAAGCCAGGTGTGGGTTTTCGAACTTCGATTCCCAGCCGTCCCAGCCTCTGCATCGAAAAGGATCTGATTGTCATCGGGGCATCCATCCTGAAGGATCTCAATAGGCAACCAACAAAAATAAGGTAATGTTGGTAAAACAATATTAAACCATCCCCAATTTCACCATAAATAGGTGGTATGGTTACCATTCCCAAATGGGTGGTTTATTATTGTTTTACCCACATTACACCGGCATGTTGTCACGACAATTGGGAATGTTCATGCATGATGCATCCCAATAAGATCGTAATCAGATCACAAACTGATACAAAGTCTATCAAATTCAATTTGATCCAATCTGTGATCATTAAATACTATAATCATCATGAATCATCTATAATCTTTAGAACAACAAGCATGGATGGAACTCGCATGAACTCGTTTTGTTCTCCAAAAAAAGTCATCCGGCCGTCCTCGCTGTGAGAATCACCATGACCATGCTGTTTTCCTGAGCCACCACTGGGATGCTATACGTATAATATAATGGGTATAGCCATGGTAATAACCCTGAAGTTTAGGATATACATGGATTATACATGGATATACATCCTATGGCTGTGGTTCTATATCCATATTATAAATTATATGTATATAATATATATATATAATATAATATATATATATAATATAATATATATACATTATATATAATATATAACATATATATATAATATATATATATATAATATATAAAAAAAATATATATATATAATATATAATATATATATATACTATGTATGTATGTATGTATATATAAAATTATACTTATACATTTATAACTGGAAATGCACCCTCCAAGTATCATATGGTCCTGCTTTTTCGGCTGTTCTGCTAAGAAGCCATGTCTGCTAAGCAGTTGGTCCCAATGCCGTTCCATTCTGCCCACATTAAATTTTACAAAAATGGGGCCTAAAAATGGATCCAAAAGTTATCAAAAGCAGGAGGCTCTGCACGAGCCAGGCCTTCTAAGGATAAATTTCCAGAACGCCCCTGGAATTTAGCCGTGCGCAACTTGGCTGCGCAGCCGGAATGAATTCACAGGCGAACGAATTCTTAAATCAAAAGCTCGCATTTGCGAATGCACTGTTTGGTGGCTTCAATCCCTTCCAAAATATCCCCAAAAAAGTATATAGCCAGCTAAGGATCGCCATCCATCAGCATCCCTATATGGTTGCAACACATTGCAACGTGAACGTGAAAGGCCGTGTGAAGCCACCAGATACGCAGAGGCCGCTCGAAGGTGTCTCAGTATCTGTTCGCCTCCTAGCTTGCTGAGCAACATACCGCTGGCGTGAACCAGTTCGGCTATACAAATTGAATGGCTTGCACTACAATGTCTCGGCCATGTTGCTTCAAATGCTTCAAGAGTTTCCACCCCAGTGGGGTAGGGCGGGTTTTCTGGGGGTAGCAACTGCCATATCATGCAACTGGTGTGCAGTTTCAAACACAATCTTGGCCCAGGGCCAGTTGGGGTCTAGACCATGGAATTCGGACTTTGCATCCCCGACCCTGGCATCTTGGCATCTTGAGCAACGCTAGTTTTTGCAAGTGCATGCGTAGTAGAATCTGGTATAATCTGGTAGAAGCACTTCCCAAACTAGTGAAGCTATGAAGGCTGTGTGAACATCCAAAAAACATAGAACTGACATACAGGAGAAAACATTGGCTTTCTGGTAAACACACCCATCACGTACTTATATTTCAACCACCGGGAAATGCTTGTGAGCAAATGAACGTCTAGCAGCCGGGAGGGCGGACTCACAACATACAGACCTAAGTTCGAAACCAATCAACACCAAAGTGGAGTCGCTGATAGTCACCATCACCAGTGATTTATGAAACAGGATGCCGAAAATTTCCATTTTTGGTGGTGAGAATGGTTTGTTGTCACTTAATCGTGTCCTGTCCCACTGTTGTAGATTCCCCACTATGGTTTCCACTCAATTCCATCAACTCCCCAATTTATATCAATTTATGGCAAATCCCATCCTCCCGTCAACTGTCGCCATCTGACACCAGAAACTCAGCCAAAACACCTGGGAAACTAGTTGCAGCCTCGACCTCCGATGATCTTCGAACAAGCCATCTCCGGAATGTTTGCCATCACCAAGACCTTGATATCAGTGGATTTCCGAGCAAACTGGGGAAACTGATGGAAACTGGAGAAATCTGCTTTTTCTCCCTCACCATCCAATGAACAGGCTCTGCAACATCTCCCTGAAACCATTTGCGAGATTTCAGTGCCATCATCAAGAAACACAATGTCACAAGTGCAACTTCGCAAGGCAGTATGAGGCCTCCGCCCAACTTCATCTCACGAATCATCATGAATCACAACTGAGAAAGGGACTGTAATTGCATACATAAAGCAAATGGATGGAATCACCTCAGAGTGAAAGGCCCCAAATTGAGAATGCAATCTGCACCACGCACAGCTAGGCAGCTAGGCAATGGTGACTGTAGGCATGGAGGCAAGCGGCTAATACCAGCACCCCATAGGAGCGCCGACTGCCCCACTCCTGTCGCAGCCCAGGACGCCAATAGATCCATGATCCAATACAAACCGCGGACCGTGGTCTTGGAGGGAATGTAAACAAATGTATAACTTAAATGTATAACCTAGGATTACTACTTGGTGGTTCATCCCACTTAGTAAGTGGGTTATAACCCCAGTTATAAATGGGATAAGTAGGGTTAATCCATTTATAACTGGGGTTATAACCCACTTACCAAGTGGGATGAGCCACCAAGTAGGGGGAAGGGACTGAAGGGACTAGACTTCAGACTGACCCCATGGCCCCATGGCACCTTTTTCCTCTTCAATGCTTCTTCTTTCTGAGATGGGATCCTGGCGTCCAGGACACCATGAGTCAAGGCAGGCTGATCTGTGCCCTCTGACCTTCAAACCTGCAAGGTCGGAACTCCCTAAGTTTTGAGAGGAACAACATCTACGTGTACTCCCCGGTAACTCAACACAGCTATTGAAAATAGCCCATTTATAGATGAATTACAATTTAAACATGGTGATTTTCCATAGTTATTTTAGTTTACCAGAGGGTCAAATCTATGGACTTCTTTATGCCGGATGTTCCATTACCAGCAGCCAAGGCACAGGCGTATCAGGATGAAGCCGGCCAAGGTGGTTCCATAGGTCACAGCGTAGGACCAGGCCACGGTGCGGCGGAAGGCTGGCGTGTCTTCAACGTAGTTGGCCTGGTGAACAATGGTGAACCCCAAACAATTGGTGGTAAATTTGGGTTCATCCCAAAATATTAAATATGGCATGTGATAAAACATGATAAAACTATATAAACATATGGTAAAATAAATATTGGTATAACAATCAGGATGTAAATGGATATAAGAGGTCCTTTTGATATCCCAGTATTCTTCCAACAGCCTTGAGGGACAGCATCCTGATGCCTATTGGGGGTTCCACTTGACCCATCCCCTGCCAACTCGTGACCCTCTGGGGGCCCCACCGCATCATACAAGCTGGGTGTGAACAAACCAAAGATCCTCGACAGCAGCTCTTAGCTCAGGGCTGATGACTAACTCTGCTACAGTAGCTACTGAGAGGCTCAAATTCTGTTGAGTGACTGGTTGCTGATAGCGGTGCCAAAAGGAGTGCTCGCATTGTAGATGGTCCCCAACAGACCGGCAGAAAGGCCTGTGACAGTTTGAACAACTCCCTCAATGCTGCATCGCTCTCCTACGTAGTTGGACTGGAAATGTTGTCACGATGGTGTCGTTATGGTACCCCATGAGCAGTCCCTATGCTTCGGTGGCCTTCTGAACCAGGTTCCACCATCTCAATCAACAGCAAGGCAGAGACAAGTTTGATGGCCGCCATTGGCATGGCTGACAATATCTCCTCTCCGAGGAAGAAGTATTGATTTCGAACGACATTGAAAATGGTCAGGTAGGCTGGCACCTGAGAAGAGACTTGTCCTCCTTTCTCAGTCTGGGCGACAATTTTGTTTTGCAGTATGGTATGGCAAACATGGCGAAACATGTTGATAAAGTGGGACGTTTGCTTTCATTGCCAGCCATCGAGTCCTTTGGATTTGCTCAGAGATCGGACATCATTGACATATATTGACATCATGGGGGAAGTATGACACCCTCCATCAAAGCAACGAAAAGTATGATATGGAAAATATGGGAAAATCCGAAAATGAAGATCCGACATTTGCAGATCATTTCATCAGGAAGAGCTTGAACCTACTGGAAAGTTAAACCCCGAAGGATCCAGGAACTGCATCAAGCACAACCGCCGTAACGCAAGCAGTGTAGAAGATTCTCCTCCAAGAAGTTTGGAGGAAGTAGACCTGCAGGGCAGCGAGTTCACCTAGCTGCAGACCTCAAAACGGCAGCAAGCGCGCCTTGAAAAACCAGACGGCCACCAACATAGTGAATGTACTAATCATTCCTGAGTGTGCACATGACAAACAAAAAGGATTCGGGTTCATCACCATTATATATATTTTTGCGTCACGTCAATGAAGCTAAGGCACAGAACATCTGCAGCATAGATCTTCCCATGCCCACAAGTCCACCGCTATCCCTCCATGCGCGCATCCCTTCATTGATGCGCTCCTAAATTCAATAGGTAAACAATAAAATTAGACAAATAATGGGGCAAACCCAATGCCATAAACCATCCCAGTAACCAACCATTTGGGGGTCACGTTACATCATCCAAATTATATATACTAGGGTCATACCCAGCTTCATAAACCCCACTTGAGAATGGTTCATTCCCCACCTGCCAGGTGAGGGTTGTTAGATTTTACCAGAGCTGTTGTCCTCCGCCTCCTCCTCCTCCTTCTCCTCCTCCTCCGCCTCCTCCTCCAGTTTCTCCTCGACCATGTCTGCATCAACTTCCACCTCCACTTCCGCCTTGCCAACTCTTCGCCAAACTTTTCGCTAACTTCCGAGCTCAGTGCGTACTGCTGGACCTCAACCTGGGACCTTCCCAGCTCAGTGCGCACCGCTGGACCTCAACCTGGGACCTTCCCAGCTCAGTGCGCACCGCTCCTGACCTTCCCAGCTCAGTGCGCGCCGCTGGACCTCAACCTGGGACCTTCCCAGCTCAGTGCGCGCCGCTGGACCTCAACCTGGGACCTTCCCAGCTCCAGTGCGCACCGCTGGACCTCAACCTGGGACCTTCCGAGTTCAGTGCGGAGCGCTGGACCTCAACCTGGGACCTTCCCAGCTCAGTGCGCACCGCTGGACCCCAACGGCCAGATAGAATGCCAGAAGATATGCCAGATAGAATGCCAGAAGATATGCCAGATAAAATGCCAGAAGGTATGCCAGATAGAATGCCAGAAGATATGCCAGAAGATATGCCACATAGAATGCCAGAAGGTATGCCAGATAGAATGCCAGAAGGTATGACAGATAAAGTGCCAGAAGATATGCCAGAACATATTGCAGAAGATATGCCAGGTAGAATGCCAGATAGAATGTCAGAACATATGCCAGATAGAGTGCCAGAAGATATGCCAGAACATATTGCAGAAGATATGCCAGGTAGAATGCCAGAAGATATGCCAGATAGAATGCCAGAAGGTATGCCAGATAAAATGCCAGAAGATATGACAGATAGAATGCCAGAAGATATGCCAGATAAAATGCCAGAAGATATGCCAGATAGAATGCCAGAAGATACGCCAAATAGAATGCCAGAAGATATGCCAGGTAGAATGCCAGAAGATATGCCAGGTAGAATGCCAGAAGATATGCCAAACAGAATGCCAGAAGATATGCCAAATAAAATGCCAGAAGATATGCCAGATAGAGTGCCAGAAGATATGCCAGAACATATTGCAGAAGATATGCCAGGTAGAATGCCAGAAGATATGCCAGATAGAATGCCAGAAGGTATGCCAGATAAAATGCCAGAAGATATGACAGATAGACTGCCAGAAGATATGCCAGATAAAATGCCAGAAGATATGCCAGATAGAATGCCAGAAGGTATGCCAGATAGAATGCCAGAAGGTATGCCAGATAAAGTGCCAGAATGTTTGCCAGATAGAACGCCAGAAGATTTGCCAGATAGAATGCCAGATAGAATGTCAAAAGATATGCCAGATAGAGTGCCAGAAGATATGCCAAATAGAATGCCAGAAGATATGCCAGGTAGAATGCCAGAAGATATGCCAGGTAGAATGCCAGAAGATATGCCAAACAGAATGCCAGAAGATATGCCAAATAAAATGCCAGAAGATATGTCGGATAGAATGCCAGAAGATTTGCCAGTAACAAAACGTATAAATGTCATGGTGGGGATAACTCGAACTAAAGTAATTCTTAGTTTTTCCCCGAGTATATCCAAAAAAACAGCCTCCAAATCAGTCTTTGCATCCAAGGTACCGCACAACCTTGGAAAAGGAAACGCAAACAACATGGATTGGTCTGGTCTGGTCTGGTCTCCCTCTCTGTCTCTGTCTGTGTGCATGCATGTATGTATGTTTGAACGCGTGCACATGTATAGTTATATGCAACTATATATATAATATACCGTAAATATTAATAATATGTGTATATATATATGTGTGTTCTAATGGTCATATGTAACATCAATCCATATCAAATGTTCACCCATCTGCGGCGCTTCAAGCGTCGCTCTCCGTTGCGACGAGTCACTGCTGCTGCAGAACTTTCACTCCTGCCCATCGGGCCCTCACCATAGGTGCTGCAGTGGTTGCAATGGTCACCTGGTGTGCCAGGTGTACCAGGGAGCCAAATGGTGAAAAATGGTGATTGAAAATGGTGATTGAAAATGGTGATCTAACAGTGATCTAATGGTGATCTAATAATGGCAATCTCAGATGGTCAATTCATGACGTGTGAGTTGCAATGTGACCCGATGCCATCCACCATGCCCGATGTCGCATCCTTTACTCAGTGAGGGATCATCTTCTCAAATGATCTTCCCCAAAGGTGTTCCAAAGTAGCAGCCAAGTTGAACCAAACCAACTCCGTCTTGAACTCAGGTGCCATCAAGTGAGTGCCGAAGGCAAACATGATCACTGCCACAAAAGACTTGCTCTGAACCTTGGAAAAAAGTTCACACTCACACATGTCGAATCTTGCCAAGCTTGACTGGTTAAATGATGTTATGTATGTTATGTAAATGGTCTATCTAACCTAACATACCTAACCGTTTTAACTCCTGAGGGTTAAAAATTGTAGTCAAATTGGGGTCATCAATCATCATAAACATATCTAACACCACCAGCCAGTTGATTCGTGCCATGGCTTCAACAAAATAAAGCAATCCAATCTTCATTAATCTTCAAACGCGTGCTGGTATGGAAAAAACAAGATGAATAAAACCAGATTCAAACACATCCCAACATTTCCACTCTCATGCCATTCGTATATTTGCCACTGGCATAAAATGGTACACGGGTTATGGTCACCCCACCACTATTAATTCCTAAGAAAATGAGAAACTGTGTTGATATATGTTCAACACATGTAATTTGTTTAAAACATATTAATGAATGGACTGATGATTCTCATCCCCCAAGAACTGCTTTTTCTCCATCGTTCGACGCATGCTTTTCTCATCTTTTCTCCTCGTTTTCCGACTTTGGCGGCTCCACTTTTGGCCGAGGGGCCAGTTGCCACGAAGCTCTGAGATGGGCGCGGAAAGAGGGACGCTCTTTCAATGGAGGTTCGTAGACCAAAAACCTCCACGGGCAGCGTTTTGAAAAAAGGCCTCCAAAAATGATGGCGCAGCAAATTATAGGCCATCGATGGCAAGCAATTTAGATATGTCAATATATATATACACGGTATTATGTACTTATATATATAATTATATATATATGTGTGTGTATTTGAATGATGTTTGAATGATTATTTGCGTTTTCACCATCCATCTCGTGGAAGTCAGTTGAACTCGCCACACTTGGGCTTAGAGTCTCAGCGTCGCGCCACTTCCGCATGCTGCCAGGACACAGAGTCAGTGGAATCTGAATCATCACCTGGGATGACAAAAGCCCTTGGAAGCACCAAAGACCTTCCCAAAATAGGCTTATGGAACAAAATTACAGGACCTGCGTTTCATTCCCTAATTTGTCTTTAAAAACCACAAAGCAAGCCATGGATGAACACCAGATCTACCACTATTCCCCAATCTGACAAAACACAACGAAGACGCCACGGCACCAAAATGAAGGCAACGCCCATGATGTGGTTGTAGCCCAGGGTCCAGTCGAAGGTGCCCAAGTATGCCTAGAGGCAGCTGCCATGGTGATGCTTCCCATCACTTCAAACTTTGGCCGCCATTTTCTTGCGCAACTACATGTCAAGTTGTAAACAAATGTGGTCACACATGTAACAAGATATCTGCATCTTTGTGTCGAGGTAACTGAATATCTCAATACCAAAATGATGTAGTTGTGCAATCAAACAGCGGTTGGCATACATGCACAGCACGCAAGAGCTGTTCTAATATGATATGTACAGAGATCCGTTTCGCATTTCCGGCCTTCCCGTTCATGCAGCATCCAATGAACAAACTGGCCATCAAGGTACCTAGGAATGAGGGAATCCGAGCACACCCGAACCCCCATGGTCTGTCATCGTCTTCGATCACAACGTGCGCAAAAAACGGGGCAACACCCTCATGGAATCCATTTGTTGAACGAGACGATTAGACTCATTAGACCAGCAAGAAAAAGGAGCAACATATACCATCTGGTAAACTAACATAACTACGGAAAATCACCATTTTTAATGGGAAAACTTACTATAAATGGCCATTTTCAATAGCTATGTTAGTCATTACCAGAGGGTAGTCACCAAGACAGCCCAAATCATTGAGTCCAGGCTGTG